ACCCTACTAATAGAGGAGTGGATCCATTCCTAGTTGGATAAAAGACCAAACAAAAACTGTAGTATAAAAACCAGTGTTTTTATCTGGGGGATTTTATATTTACTGCAGATTAATAAAAAAACTGATTGAAACAAAACGGAGTGAAATATGTCCCTCTTAACATGTATTTTAAAATATGCCTTCTAACATTTTCCAAAGAACAAGACACATGCTAACAAAGAATGCAGGAAGTCTGTGGTGAAATGTGATGTATACAGTAGATGTAATAGAATACTGTAGTAGCAGCAGTATAATGCAATGAGGTATCTACAATTCGAAGTCAAACTTTTGTAGTATAGGAAAACATTGTTAATCTGTTGAAATTATTATTAAGAAGAATAAGAATACCATGTATGTTTATGTTAAACTGCCTCTGCACTGCTGTTTTGATAGCAAACCTTTTCCAGAACTCAGCTATCCGTTATTTGCATTTTTACATAATCTTTTAAGATTGTTTTTTACTGCCTGAAGCATGCTGTTTTAACTGACAGAAAACTGAATGAACTGGAACTTTAACTGTTACCAAGCATTTTGACATTGTCTTTTTGATAAGATGTTACTTCACCTTCAAAATGGTGTATTTTAAATTATTTGCAACTATACTAATTATGTTATCGGAAATTGTGCCAATTGAAAATTGACTGATTATTTTAATATATCAACTTATGCAGCTTGATAAATTATTTGCACCAATATGTCATAATCAATTATTTCAAAATAAGTGCAAAATAATAATTAATTTAATTTATTTTGGATCTATTACAAGACTTTTACTTACCTCCTGTGATTATTACATGCACCAGCACAGCACAATTTTGTGCAGAAATATTTGACTAATATAATATAAATCTAAAAGAATACAAACCATAAGACTGACTATTCGCACTTGTTACAAAAACAGGCTTAGTTATCAAACTGTTATCAAAGTCAAAAGATATCATCAAGTAAATGAATACTAGGCATTTAAAAAAAAGTACTCTTTTTATAATGTTCTGTGTATCGTCATTTGACCAGTTAAAGACTCTAAATTAAAGGTTTATTGTAATATTCTGTGATCATATAGCTGTGCTGGGCTATAATTAATTAATGGTGTTAAGGAAACAACTACAATAGAAACTGAAGAACACCTTATGAAAATTGTTAGACACTTGTTTTTCAGGAACCAAAGTGAAGATAAATGAATTTCCCTTTCAGAAAAACTCCACCTACTTTGTTAAAAAGCAAGAATAATAATAAGAATAACAAATACTTCCTGTTTTTTGGGGGATGGTACGGTAGTACTTCCTCAAACAATCCATGTCCATTCTACATTACAGTACATATAAATTATTTAATTGGGCTTCATTAATTAGTATTAGGTTATGAAATTTAATGAATCATTAGCAAAATCTTAAAGCTTAATTCTGAATGAAGGAGACAAGAATGAAGGAAATTCTAATGTTTGCATCCTGTCTGTTAAGAATGAATTAACTGACTCAATTTTTATTCATCTTCACTTACGTGTTATCTGCACCCAGAATGTTGTAGGTGATTTCAAGAACAGTATTATCTCAAATTTAAAATACCTTCTGAGTTGAAATGGTTTGATGTTTTCAGATCTCATTTACAGTGTCCTGGAACTCGAGATCCAGTGTTGCCTCACTGCGATGGCGCAGCCCAACCAACCATGATGGGTTTTTCATCTTGTTACCTTGACAGCAAGTCTCAGCCTGGCAATGGAAAAAAAAAGCAGGCACAAAATCGGCAAAGGTGAGACAGGTCAAACTGAGCATTTACTTTCATGACCCATAACCTCTGAAGCTATGATGGTGAGTGAATTAACCCATTGGGCTACCTAACCCTGTAAGCCATAAAGAAATGAATCTGTAAACACAGCACTTCCCTACTGGGATGTTGATTCATCTGCATTTCTTTTGCATTAGTCACCTTCCATAGTGTATATAATGGCATCACCTCACAACACAACAAGAGCATACAGAAAGACCAAATGTATGCTTGTTAATTGAACTTTGTCATTAATATCACTAGCTGTAGATGGGCATACGTCAGCGACTGCTTTATCAGCTGCCTTACCACCTGCTGAATGGCATTTTATAAGTCAACTTGGGCCATTAATACCCCCCCAGAAAAAAGTCCCTTTAATGCACATAGAAAGATCAAGGAATAAAACTGAATTAGAGGGGATAAGGGGTACAGTTACAAGAATTGGGGTCACTGCTTCTAATTTGTAAAACATACCAGCTGCTGATACAAATGTACAGTAGATTTAATTTGCTTAACGCAGTTCAAAGGAGGCAACAAAATTCAATGATTGAAGCTGTGTTCGTATATTCAACACATTAGAGACAAGTGTTTTTAAAAAAAGAAAACTGATCAGTAACTGATGGTAGAGCAAGTTTTATCTGCAGAAATAATCACCTTTTCTTGTTGTGTACCCAGGGTATTATGCAAAGTAGCGATGTTTGGCATTAATTTATGTAATATAGTACTGTTTACAGGTTTTTTTATTAAGTCCTGAAAGCAACCTTGAATAGTCTGATTGCAATCTGCCCTTTTCCAGCATTTTGCTGAAGAGGGCCTAAAAAGGTGAAAGCATGGTTTTCTGGGTTATTGCTAATCCAGTACAAACCACTCAATGAGGGCATATAGTAGAACCACATGTATTGTAATGCAGATGCAGTGGCAGAATCACGGTTCCTTGGGAGGCTTGTTTATTTGTGTATTTTATTTGGTTTATAAAGTCAAAAGTGACATTTACTAGTGAATGCAGCCAAGAACCCACACTAATTAAAATGTGTCATTCACATTTTAAAGCAATTTTCATCAAATGCAGGACCTTTTTAATTGAGACTATGGCAAAGTGAACCAGGTCATACTCAATGAAAATATGCTACCACCCTTTTTATTTTCCATATGTGCAAGTGGAAAGCAAGTTTTACTCATTATCCTCTTAAATAATGTATAAATGTACTCTTTATCTTACATTCTTACATTCACCTGGTATTTTAATTAGTAAAGTACTACAGGAATGAGTAGTAGGAGGACTGTTCTTCACTTACATCAGTGATCTAGATTCTGTCATTTTCATTTATCAATGAGTATCTTGCAACTACTGTATATACCAATTTCATCTTGAAGGATCCGAAAGCACCTTATGTAGGAGGGGTCCAGTTAACCTCTTCTCAAGTGTACCATCCACCTGGAAGACAGGCAGCAGCCATTCAGCAGCACCACTACGCAGGTGATAAGGTGGACATGTAAGACTCCGCAACCAAGCAAACAAGCTAGATTAGCCAAATAATCTCCTGTATCAATATGTACAAAGAAAGGTTCATGTCTATCTTTTGACTTTCTAGGAACACTGAAAGTTCTGAGTCAAAATCATACAGTAGCTCTTAAACAGAATGCTTATATTCAAAATATGTTTTAAAATGCTATGGGTGCTTACCCTACAGTAGCTGTATTTTGAGGAAATAAACTGATTCAGGAGATGTGATGTAATGAACTGCTACTGGGTGTATGAGACAGAACGGTACCTTGTAAACTGTGCTGTTTTAGTTGGACTTGTTTCAGGGCTGTAGTTTTGAACAAGGTTTTACAATTTGCAGATGTTAGAAACTGTCTGGGTGTGGGCAGAGTGTGTCAGTTTAAAATAACTTTCCATTGCTTTGGCATGGAGAGTGGGGGTGGGGGGTGAATTTTCCATATGCCACCTTTCTTCTAAATTCCCTCTTTAAAAAAATCCTCTGCTGGGGTTGGTGTGAGCTCATTAATTTGGCATCTTTTGCTGACATCATCAGCTCCCACGTGCATTGTGGGTAGGTGAGTAGAGGGTCATCAACCTTTCTCATTTTTTTTTTGTTAAAGATACAACTCTTCAGCACTTGAACTGCATTGCCTGGATACACTGCTTCTATTTTTTATCACCCTCTTTCCTGACCCCAGTTTATTTTAAGACTCTGATTCATGAGCCATTCATTCTTTCAAAACCACAAAACCACTCTAACTTTACAAGCTGTACTATTTGGGTCGGGTAGAAAGAGTGATAGTTGTGTGTGCTGATGGAGTTTTTTGTGTGTGTGTGTGTGGGGGGGTCAATACCTGCTTGGGATGAGAATCTTGTTTATTTAGACTACAGCAGGGTTTGAACATGGGGAATAGAAAACAGTTAATTGTTTCCCAGGCTCTATTAAAAAAACTGAAACCATGGAGGAAAACAACATGGTCCTTTTCTAAATGAATAACAAGCATGATGGGGGAAAATAATGTGTATGATCTCTATTGATCTGCTGATCTATTCATTAGCAGCCCAGTTACCAATGATAAAAATGAAGAAAATTACCACGATAATCAACTACATAAAGATCACACCTCACCACAGCTGAATCTCAAAGATGGATCTTGAAATGTGACAAATGGAATCTCCCCCTTAATTCAATTTGGTGTACAGTTGAAGGTGCAAGTCAGAATTAAACTGTGGTCTTGAAAAAGATACAGCAAAGGTCTCCTTAGGGACAGGATGAGAGTGTGGCTGGCTGTGTTTATTGCCAGGGTGGTAAATGACAACACAGATGCTTGTGTTGCTGCAGTTACAGCGTGATGCAATCTCCAGGCCAACCAAGAAAGAAGCTGGGTGTGTGTGTGTGTGTGTGAGAGAGAGTGGGGCGTGGGGGTGCCTGGGACAGTGGGGGAGCTGGGTGGAAATTTCAGAACGAGGCAACAGAACAAATGGCATGGATGAGTTTCCATGACTGTCCAGAAAGGCAGGGAATGTTCAATGTGCATAACCCAGCAACTCCGCGTTTCTGTGATACCCAAGCAACGTGCTGCTGGGATTGGTTAAACTCATGACATGAGCCCCACCCATTTACTCATGTGGGGGGAAAAAAAGCCAAAATCAAAACAACTTCCACACTTTACCCTCTCCTTTGCACTTGACCTTCCAGCACTTTAGCCTGCTACTTTATTGTGTTTGTTTTTCTATTTATTACTTTATTTATTTTGTCTATTATTTTTGTTTTTTTTCTCAGTTTGGAAGATCACGGCAGGCAGCCTTGAAGCACAGAATGAATTTCGAACATTCGCCCTATGCAACCTTACAGTACTGTCCTGAACATGCTTTTCAGCGGTAAGTAAGTCATTTAATTTATGCAAATGCTGCGGACACAAAAATAGCCCTTTGGCATCTGCCAACATTTTATATCTTTCAGCTCATGCCTGAGAAAAAAGGAACTCAAGATCACTGTTCAGTAGGGTCTCATGCTTTTAAACAATTGACAAATTTGAGGAACTTGCCTGTACTTTACTGTGTTACAATAAGTGCTACCAGGATGATAACATAAGAGCATTTGCAGAGTCAAAATGGAATCAAGTATGGTATTCAGGCATTCAACAAGAATATTTTGTTGAAAATAAATAACTCATGTTGATAGACATACATACACATGTTGCACCTACATAATGTATATGCATAGTTATTTAGATTTCATGTTCATTTTTATTCCAGAAATGAGACCGTGGTTGGTTTGAAAGTGTGAACACTTAAGCAGCTGTGTCTGAATGTACAGCTGTTGCTTATGTCTGATATTTATAGGTGTGGCGTACCCGTGGCAACAATGTGAGAGTATCATAGAATCAGGTTTAATGGAGCTTGATGACATTTTAACCTTTGCAGAACTGTTTTCTTTTAGGGGGCTGAAGCATTACATTAGTGTAGGCTTTAAAGATGTCTGGATCTTTTGAAAGTTATTAGGGAAACAATTCTGTAATAAAAATAATAACTTAAAATGTCAACACATTAGCCCAGAGTGGTACTTCCTTTTTATTTGTCTGTTTTTCTATTCCTAGAAAATATAAGATGTATTTTTAATTTATTACCAACCAAACAAACAGTCCCTTTTATTTTATGATCTTTCAATAATGTTTGCAGGTACAGAGCAGTCCTATTTTTTACTTTAAATATTGAAAGAAAAAGGATGTTTATTAATAATTCATATTTAATAACAAGAACAGATACATTCAATTTTAGAATAGTTTTATGGTGCTTGTTTCTGAGATTACAAATGACAAAATTGCATACAGTTTAGGGAAGAACTATTCAGATTAATTTTAGTACAAAATACATCTACAAATTGTATTAATTGCAGTAATACAACATGCCTAATTTGAAACTAATGAGTACATTAAAGACTCAGTTAAATGCAAAATGATTAAATTAACAAAAGAAAAAAAACTGTTATTCAAACACTAATTTGTTCAATCTTAATACCACACCCTGCAATGCTGATAGTTTTTATTTTGTATTACTTCTGTAAATGTAGTACAGCATTTTAATTAAAATTAATTTAGTTTGTTTTTTTTCCACTTGATTAAAATTATAGTGATTCATGTTCAGACCTGAAAAAATCATTCGTCAAAGAATTTAAAAATCCACACAGCTGTGAAGACATACTGTATATGTATGGATATTATCACATTAGTGATACTTTAGATATACTTTAGATAATTAGATTTACTTTAGATAAATCTGGTTAAAGACCATCAATCATCTCTAATGTTTTTTCTTGCATTTTCGAAATGTCTCCACCTTGTAATAAATGTCTAAATAACATAATGGTCATTTGGGAAAAAACGTAACATTTGGTGTAGCAGAGCATAATAATACAGTATATACTGTATACTGTAGTATGTAGCCACTACAGTTTCTGTTTATACTATAGCTCCTTCAATAATGTTATGCAGAGGTAAATACTTACTCAGTCTACTATAGACTTAGCACAACCTGTATTCAAGAATTAAGTCTGACTTTCATCCCCTAATACAATAGAGGATAGTAGAATCTAAAATGAACCTGCTTTCTTAATAAAGAATGAGGAGTCCTTTCGGAGTCATTTGCTGTACAAAATGAAGTGAGATTGGCCCATTGCTTAAACAAACTCTGAAACAGTGAACTGGAAATAGCATTTAATTCACACTTCATGGTTGTTGAAAAAGCAGATGTAGTAAGCCTTCGGGATTATCTACTTCAGCTGCTATGGATAGTGTCCCTCCCAAAAATGTTGTAAATCTCATTTAAGTTGACCTTAAGTGTTACAGAGATTGCCTGCCTTGTGCAGTAACCTGATACCTGAACCCTACCTTACTGCAAAGGTGAATTGTTAAAAGAGGCTTAGTCTTTTTCCCTGTCTTTCAAGTGGACTATCACCAAAGAGCATCTTCTTTGTTCCATGTGAACTGCACAAAATAAACCAGGTAGAAATTGCATTGTATGTATTTTTAAATATTGTCTTAATCCAAGTGATGAAGGGAAGTAGAGCAAGGTACCGCCCACTCCAAGAAAGGAATTCCTTTATAATGCTGAACAACTTTAAATCTTCTGTCTACTACAGCCTGTTTCTTTTCAACTTAAACTCTCCTTTGCTGCTCATCAAACTTTAAATAAGACTGATTTTTGTCCCTCTTTTAACTCTTTTTCAAAATTACCATGATGTATGACTAAACAACCGTGAAGGGTTTAAAACCAGAGGAAGACCACACACAAAACAGTTATTGACACTTCATAAATGTTTGATTTAGCTACCCTTTGCACTCCCTGTGACGGCTGAAGAGGTGGTCTTCGATTCTGCCTGGGTGTTTGCATTAGTGCAAGGTGCCTGTCTCAGGGAAGGAATCCTTTTCCTCCTGTCTGTGTTGTTTTAGTATGGAATCCACCTGCTTTCATGTGGTCTTTTGTTCCATCTCTGAAAGAAAAATATCAGGGTTGTGGCAGCCTAGGTAATTCTGAAAATATAAAGAAACAGCATTCAGATTCCTATTCTTTGGTCAGTAAGAACGAAGCTGCCCTAATAAATATGTAGAGAAATCTTATTTTAAAAAAGATCGTAAAAGTATGACTTTTAAAATTGTATTTGTGAATGCTGTAGAGAGAATGGACGGGAACGTCTTGTTACAAGATCTTCATATTTTTGGGCGGCAAAACAAGATTGCTGTTATTGCCAGCATGGATTGACTTTGTCCTTTGACCTCTGTCGTGCAAGCAGTGTAAACACCTGCACATCTTAAATATCAAAAACCTAAAACTGTAATAAGTGCAGTTAATACACTGTTATTAAAGGCTTAAAATTGTGTAGGAACAACATCTTTGGATACAGTGACATAAAAAGGAATAGAAAAAAGTGCATTTATTTTGGTCTTGATTTAGTTTAAAAAGGTATCTAATCTTTTGTCTGCTAACGTAAAGTCCCTTGAGAAAATTTCAGTATTGATATACTGAAACACCAGGAAACTGACTTCATGTTGATCTCATAACTAACTGAAGTGGTTAACCATTTGAAAATTGTGGGGCTATTTGGAAAAATCCCCCTGTACTATACCTAATAGTTTTTAGATCCTTTATCTTATACATGATTTAGCAGACTGTGAATAGCACAGTAAGAAAAGAGGTAGTTGATTGTCTATATAAAAAAAATCCAAATTAGTTATTTAAAAATATTTTAAGACTACTATTGTCCCGCCTTTATTTTTTTTCAGAATGGGTAGATAAAAAAGAAATATTTAACCAGGCCCTGGTTCAAAGGAAAATGACCTCAAGTGCAAACGATAATGATTTATTAATACTATTTATAAAGAATGTAGCAGATATCTAATTGTAGGGCTGGCTGCTATCTTTGCATTCTCATCTGTGAATCTGAAAAACTAATCAGAGACACCAGAAATCCTGCTCATCTTAAACCTCTGGCCCTTTCAGGATAGTCTCTGGTGTCTGCTCAGTTAAGTGGTTGCTAACTCCCCTAGGCAGTCTAAGAAACTTGCATGGTGATCAGACTCTTGGTAACATGAAAGAACGTCTCCTCAGCACACTGAATTCTAAGCTTCCATTGGTTTTGTGAGTGTCCCAAACATTTCTAAACACAGTTTTGCTCACGATACCCTCTGATATAATTTTCTGTTCTATTGCTTTCTGCTTCAATGATCGCCAACATTTTGGTTTTATTTCTACCATTTATGGAAAGTCTAGTAAGGTAAAAACTGACTAAAGGTGAATTGTTCAGTGAGACAAGAAACAGTAGACTCACAACAGCAATCTCACAAAAATTCCAACAAAATCTGTTTTTTGGAACTATAGTGTTTCGCATTTTTTTTCACTTTTCTATGTAACTGCATTTACAAAGCACTAAATATTTAGGTTAAGGTATACATCACTGAAACCTGCATGTGCACCTGGATAGTGACTCACACTGTGATCGTCTTACTGGTTGACTCATAGCATCCTACACATACCGTACATTATCATTATATCGAACAGTAAAAGTTCATAGCTTCCTGGTATCCAGGAAATAAAGTAAAACGTTTTTTTTTCCAAGGCTGCAAATGTGTTCCTTCTTATTTAAGAGAACTGGAACATCACAATGAGGTGGTCATAGCAGAATTTGGAATTTTAATGAGCTCACTAGTAACATTTATAGGATTTAATGTGTTGTTCTTACTGTTGTGGTGCTGTATGCTGGGCATTAAAGGACCATCATTTCCATGTAACACGCTTGTAGTAAATCAAGTGTGATGTGAATCTTATAAAAAGCACAGATGCTTCTTGTTCTGGGTCCCAAAGCTTTTTGTAGCACCATGATGTAGGGCCATTGGCCAGACTCCCTGAATGCATAATTGTTTTTGGCTTTAGACCAGATCTGTGGATTTTGGTTGACGTCTTCCTCTGTCAGATTTCCTCATTAGACAGAACTCTTCCCATCCTGGGGTGCTGATGTCATTATATTGGGCTGTCAATCCTCCTATCCAGTCTACACTAATGTATTTAGAGTATGCATGTACTGCATGACCTGGGATAACAGCCACTCAGCACCTGCTAGGAAACCATATAATCCAAATGTTCTCAGCAGGATGTAATGTTTTCAATATTAAAATATAAAACATATAAACAAGCCAAGCACTCAATACCCTTGACAGTTTAATTTTCTCTAAGTGAGAGCCTGAACCTTGCAAATCTCCCCACTCCATGAGAACAACCACCCCACAAGTGAAAATTAACATTTAAGTTCATATTAATGGTAATAAACATTCCCTGAATCCAAACCTTGTATGGTTTTGTTTCAATCTCTCTTATAGGAATGTACA